AGTCTTCTTCTTATCATAGCATACCAACCAGCGAACACCCAGCCAAGTTTAGTTAGCCAGTTTGAGTATTCGTTACAGGATGCCAACAAAGGATAAAGTGTATACAGCTTTTGAATCAATTGCTAGAACTAAAACCGTAGGTACGAAGAAATCAAACTAAAGAGAGAAGAGAATCTGAAAGGAGCGAAGTTATTTAAGTTGTTCCAATGCCAAGTCTCGTCACGTGCTTGGCCAAGCGAATGAAATCCTGTCAAATGAAATCCAGCTCCGTCACAGATATTAAATTATAACTAATTAAAAGTAAATATACCTTTCTATTCTAAATATATATTAAAAGGGACCTAAATAATATACTTAATTTACTTACTAAATTAAAAACTCGCTTCTACCCTAAAAATTCTATATAGTTTAATTAACTAGTAAAAGAACTACTTTTACTTTAGCTTAATAATTATAACTTAGTATAAAATATAACTCTTAGTTCTTAAAAATAAACTATAAGCTCTTACCAATTCTAAATATAGTAAAACTATAAGATTTATAGTTTAGTTACCTATATATATTTATATTTAGCTTTACGTTAGCTTATAATACCTTGAAGGGTTACTGAGTATAAATATATAATTATATAAATAATACTAGTAATAGTACCTTAATTAATAAACTTATAGTAGTAGTTTAAAAGAAAAAGTAGTATATAGTTACTAATATAGTAAATATAATAATAATAATCTTATATAAGCGCCTAGGGCCTAATACTCCCTAAATATTTAATAATAAAAGAAAACTTATATACTACTATTATAAGAAACTAAGTTATATTAACTCTAAGTACTATAATAAATACCCTAAAAAGAAAGCTAAGTTTAAGAAGGTAAAAGTAAAAAAGAGAACTACTAGAGCTAAAGATTATAAGAAGTACTTAAACCTAGGATAAGATAAGTCTTATAATAAAAAACCTAGAGATAATAAGATAGTATTTAGCTTACTAGTAGTTAGTACCTTAGAAATAGACTAAGATAATAAAAAGAGAGTCTATAGCTTTATAATATAGCTAGTTAATATTAACTTAGGAGGTAAGACTACTTTATAAGCCTTACTATATAGTAACCTTACTTCTAAATAGGTTATTAATAATAGTTACTTAAACTTAATATACTACTAGGAATCTACCTTTATTAGTATAACTTTACTAAGCCCTAGTAATATAAAGGCTATATTAGAAATTAGTAGTATAAAATTCCTAATTACTTTTAAAAGTACTATTAAACTCTTTATTAAAATAGAGTCTAGACCTAAAAGACTATACCTTAATAATATCCTATACTACTCTTAACTAGCAGTAAACCTTCTTTCTATCTAATAACTACTCTTAAAGGGGCTCTAAGTAGACTTATAACTTAAAAGTAGGAATATTAGAATACCCTAGATAATAAAAGACTCTTAGAACTTTAAACTCGAAGTAAGAAATAATCTCTAGTTATTTATACTTATACAAATACTTTTAACCTTTACTTAATTATATATAAATAGTTTAATTAAGGCCTAGGTTATATATATTAATAAACTAAAGAATATTATCTAGTATACTTACTTAAAGTATACTAGTAATAAAGTAGTTACTACTTGTAACGAATACTCAAACTGGCTAACTAAACTTGGCTGGGTGTTCGCTGGTTGGTATGCTATGATAAGAAGAAGACTATCGGGTTGTTCACTTGGAAGTGAACTCGTTACTTGTATCAAAGATGTCAAAC